ACTCCCAGCTCGCACTGAACACAACATATCGCCGGCCTACTCGTCAACACGATTGCAGCCAACACCGGGCGTTGGCGCTGCACTCGCATGTTAGGGTTACTTCAGTGCGGTTACCACAGCAGGGTTACTGCGGTACGGATACGACGGCAAGATTGGCTTAGTACGGATGCGTCAGCAAGGTTACTCTCATCCGGTTTCGATGAAAACGTTGGCCTGGTCCGTAAGATTCGCAAATGCTGAAAGAATACAGTACACGGTGCCTTTCAAAGGCAAGGTTGCTTTGCTATGGATACGGAGGCAAGGTTACCACGGTACGGTTACAACTAGATAGCGCTGGTACGGGTACAAAGGCAAGATCAGCTTGATACGGATACGTCGACAAGGTTCCCTTGGTATACGACGGCGAGTTTACGGTACCCTGTTACGGTTAAGACAAGATAGCGCTGGTACGGATACAATGGCAAGATTACGTGATATGGATACGACGACAAGGTTCCCTTGCTACGGATAAGACGGCAAGGTTAATCCTGGTACAGATGCGAAAAGGTTACGGTACCCTATTACGGTTATTAAGGCAGAGTAAGCCTCGTATCGTCACACCGGCAATTATTGGTAAGCTTATTCATCTTTTTGCCTAATTTAACGAGCCCAAATATGAATGTTACCTTTCACACAAATGTCTAAATTTTCAACATTGAAAGCAAAATGCACCACCGAAAAATTTCAGAATTTCGTCATGAGGTAATTTGCTCCGAATATAGGAGCCATGGTGATAGCTCCATCATTGGATTAACGTCAACGAGATAACGTCGACGAGTAAATTTGGCAGGGCAGCGCAGCGGTGCTGCAAGGAAGCGGCGAGGTTACGTCATGGCAAGGGGCGGGTTGCCCTGCAGTCGTGATGAGCGCTGCGTGTCGAGCAGGTCATGACACGACTCGCGGAGAAAAAATTGGCAGGTGCATCGACGGCCACTTGATCGTTGCCGATCGATCGATAGAGTTGCCGCCGAACGAATAATTCTCAGATGATTTTTGATAGAGATGGCAGTAATGAATAGCTTGACCGATGACAAAACTTATCGTTTTCTTTGCAGTTTCAAAGCGCCTTATTCGTGTGCATACAATCTTTGGTTTAAAAATAATAATTTCAGGAAATATTTGTGAACTTTGCATAAACTGAATTCTTTGTGTTGAGCTGTGGATATTGGGTAACGATTGTACTTCTAACTTTTTCCCGGTTTATAAGTAAATATGAAATTAATCAGGAAGAAAAGTAAACAGTACTCGTATTCAAACATCTTGCCTGCATAAAATTTTGACGCTGAAATAACTGAGTAACACTCATGGTCACTCTAGCATGATTCGACTTTATGTTTTTGAATATATACGGTACAAAATTATTGTCGGCATCTGCACTGCGATTAGGCACTGACTGGAAGAAACGATAGATTTAAAGACGGTGTACTGGTACAAAAAATATCGGGCTTCAAGTGAACGACTAGATTAAAATGGTACGGTACATATATATTAAGAAGATGAATTACTGCACGAATTAGAATGCATTTCGAGAGTGATTCCACATTTAATATGAGCATTAACTAAAAAAAAGCTAATGCATAGCACTAAAATTCTCAACAGTGGTTGCATGTGATGAGTGATACAGTTCAGCAACAACACGAACAATGATGAGTCACGCAACAAGAGAGAGCTCTGTCCAGGAGAAGGAATCAATAAGAAAAAGTATAAGAAAAGTCTTGAGGAACGTTCAGTACAAAGAACGGACAGGAGACAGCACTGAACTCTACAAGTTACCGTGTGCGCGCCAGCGTATCGCAGGACATTCATGTTGAGAGTAAATAGCAACCCTGCAGCTCAGTGTATGCTAAGTACGAACAAGCTCAGAACGAGAAGTTACACCAGAGCAAAAAGAACAATTTACATAGAATCTTTTAAGTTACAGCAACAAAGCTTCAGGCCCCACTAAAGAACTGCTGCCACGCACCGGTCTTTTATCCCTCTTGAAAATCATCAGCTGTCTTCCTTCGGCCACTTATTCTCCAGCGATAAACCTGCCTATACAAGTCCCCAAGATGATGGCAGCCAAAATAGCAACACGACCACCACGGAAACTTGACTCGTTATTTCCCACGTATTCTCGGCTGCTCCGTTCCGGGTCGGAAGTTTCGAGGAAACGAAACCTCAGACCAGCGAAATGATGAAATCATCGGGCAGGGCGTGCAAAAATTTAAGAGTTGAATGTCATAGACGTAAAATGTAAATGACTCTCATGTAACTCGTGGAAATTTCGTGGACCTTCATAAGATAGAATTTGAATCATTCTATGATGTGCACTTATCATTGTAGATTACATTTTCCAAATACAAAACTGACTCTCATGGCCAGGTGAGGTAAAGATTATTAAAACGAGAACTAAAACACATGAGAACTCAGTCCTCTAATGAGAACTAATACTAAGAATATTAGAATTAGAATATTTAGAGCAAAAGCCAACCTGTTGCGCAGCGGTCAAACGCAAGGGTCCGTTACATGATCCCATGATACACCTACGCACGATACGCCAACTGTAAAAATGCAGAGCGTCGAAACCAATAAAAAATTAGTATCAAGCAACATAGTTTAGATCATTTTAAAAATCTAGATCACGTTCATCAAGTTTTGTGTTAATATCACCGCCTATCCTTTCGACACATATGTCCGACATTTAATTCTTCTTTCTCCTTGGGGTCCAAGAAACAACCCTGATTAGTGACTTGTAAAATCTACCATAATTGCAATAATGGTAATGTGATAATAAAAATAGGTTACAAAATGGAGGTTTTCGTTCTCAAGTAGCTTGTGCTGACCCATGACATCATTTGCTGACATGCGTTATTAGGCTCAGTTTTCTATATTAAGCTACCAGGCGTAAATTTACGGATAAATAAACACGAACAACAAGGGTGCGAGTAGCCCATAGCCTATACTGAAGCTGACGAGACCGAGTCAACCAGACTGTATCGATAGACAAAGGAAGAGTTAGACTTATTAGATTGTCTGGCTGACTCTACCAAATCAGATCGAAACCTACGAAATCTCAGAATGACTGAGTTGACGAATAGTCTACGTTCTCATTGCAGCATGCAACCATCTGTGGTGCCGGCCCATGATCGCCGAAAAGGCTACTGATGGGCCGCGGAATGTCAGGAGGCGACATATGAGCCGACAGCAGTCTGGTGGTGCTGTACGTGTTCTTCAGAGCCGTAACACTTCTCAACCAGAGTTGAAAGAAAGTTGCATTCATTAATTTGAAACAAAAATTTTAATCAATATTTGTATGAAATACCGTACACATTTTTACCCACAAGAATTTTTGTCGAGGCAAATATACCACGAGGGTAGAAAAATTTATAGTTTTCACTACAGATAATCGACCAAAATGCACAAAATAAGCTATTGGAAGATCCATCAATCGAGTCGTACACGACCGATACCACGCACCACCTACTCCGCGGCAATTCGCGCTCGATCACCCAACGGAAGTGACGTACAGCAGTTCCGTAACATCGCCTGTGACTTGTAGGCTTCATCATGCTTACGGAACAAGCAGCTGTCAACAATGCCTGACCGTCACAGTCTGCTCAGTCCAAACTAAGCGACATGAACGGTGCTGCGAGAGGTACGGCAGCCCAGGGACCACTGGGCTGAGCATGCGACTTATTTATTCATTACTTTACAAGAATCTGTAATTAGGTTTCTCCGCCATGTAATTAAAAGGTTTTACACGCTAAATAAATCGAGAGTTGCTCGCGTGTTTTTAGAAGTTGTTGAAGTGACCAGACAAATCAGTGAAGTGACCAGACAACATAAATTATTCAAGTCAGTTCTCAACTTTTCATTGATTCTAAAATACTTGAACCAAATATAGTCAACAACAGTTATTTTGTTCAGGCTATCAGCGATCACTTGGTTTTTATTTTATCTAATAGCGTACGGTATAGCCTAATACTAATAGGATGCCTGGCAGCTTTCAAGCTCATGGCTTTGACCTTGGATCCTGCGTAGCCGCTTAGCCAGGATCAAAATTAAAATGATATGATGCCTGTGTTTTGTTGTCAGTACACTATGCTACGAATGTCTGAGCAAAGCTCCGTATAGATTTACAAGGTTAACCTAATTTGAGCATTGCCTACTGAGCCTGAGATGTGGCACCAGAGGGACTCGTGTTAAAGTGAAGCAGGTAGGAAACTGTATGGTTCGTTACCCTAGAGCTACACACGATCTCCATAAGCCGCGAGGAATGCAAGCAAGCTCGAGCTATACCAGTATCACCATAGAGGCACAGACAACACTTTTGTCAGCATCCACTAACTACGCCTCAAGTCACTGGAAATTGCGGAGAAAACATTATTCTAAAGTGAAGAACTTCAAGCGAACAGAATGAACATAAGATTACTATACTTTGTCATTTTGGTTTCTTTCAACGCAAAAAAAGCAAGACCATCGGTTCAGCAGTCATGTCTTCAGCTCATGGCTCATGGGATGATGGGCATGAGCATGACACGAGCGATGGTTGAGACACCAGAACGGCAGAACCAGCTTAGGTTAGCAACGAGACTAGACTGAAACTGGGCAAAAGAAAGGAGTACAAAATTGTTAAACGAGATCAAATATTGATGTAAAAGTTATCTCTGACAGAGAAGATAAATTTTATTGTGAAAATCGAAGTTAAACTCTCATCAGCCATATAGCGAGCGAAATTACTTTTTACGTTAACAAAGAAGCTAGTCAAGCTACACACCAAGTCAATTTCATTAGTAAACATTGCGGGTTTTAGTAATAATGAAAAATATAGCTCCAAAATTTAGGCGTTATGTAGTTGAGCTTAGTATTGCCAGCAGAGCAAGGAGCTTTCCGGCCGTTGTCGAAATTTCTACATTTTCCCAAACCAGCTCAATTTCATGGCCAAGGAAAAAAAATATGCATACGAACAAATAACTCACTGATATTGAACCTTCTTTAGTCCTTCTATGGATGGCGACTCGTCTCCATAATCGCAATTCACTGAAAAACTTGCACAACAAAACGAAGTCGAATCCTAAACACGAGTACCATTAAGCGCGGCACCGACATACACCTCACCTCACGAGCGTAAACGCAGACTGATCTACTGTGGTGGGCTGGTCACGCTGGTGGAGATTCAGCGACTGGCGAAGCCCGAAGGCCCGAAAAGCTGAGCCGAAGCGATCTCCGTCACTGCGCTGTCAAAGGCCTAAATAGGCGGGCAAGCTATATCGGCGTCAGCTGAGCCTTATTCTAATTTGTATAATTATTTAATAATTATTTCTCATATTAGTTGACTACTAAATTCATGTAATATTTTTGGAAGCTTAAGAGTACGTGAATCATTATTCTATTATTTAAATTTTCAACAATTTTTTTTACCGCAAGCCCAGATATTGTGCTTCATATTGCATAAATCGACGAAATTAAATAAAAAACAGTTTGTATTATAAAGTATGTATTCAATATCAGCAGCTGGTCACATGAGCCACAAGTTTTGTAATAAGTAACAAAATAAGTTTTCGTGCGAAGACTTCCGAAGCGATTTCTCCCACGATGCAGATGTAGGTACAACAATATACTGTTGTTAATTTTAAGCCTTAGAAGTAACAGCTTTATCATGCAAACTATTAAAATACTAGCAAAACTGTTGTAAGATATTAACGCGCGCTTCTTGATACTTAGAATAATTCAATCTAATGTTTGAACAAATTCTTGTAAGGATCACCGTGGAACAGAACGAGCCCCCCATATATTATGTACAAAACAAATGGGAACAGTTCAGCCGCTATCAGATATTGAAATATCAGGATACACAGGTCACAATAAATGTACAATGGTCACATTCATGATCTCGCACAGCGTTAACAATGCGAGATAACTTCTGTTTTCGTTTCAAATTGTTAATGTGTGCCCTGTAAAGTTATTACAATTTATTTTTGTTTGATAATTTTAACTGTTCACAAGTGACGTGCCTTAGACCAATTTTGGTTTTTGAAGTGTTCATATCAAATGGAATCTTACAGTGGCACCAGTAATGGAAACATGAAGCTATGTTCGATAAATACAACGGCCATCATGACACTGCCAAGCCCATACCGTGATTTCCCGCTAGAAATTTCAATAGAATTCCTGCACAAGTCAGTCCACAGAACACTCCTCAATATCACACATTGTCCGCAACTGGGATTTTTACTACAAAAAATCACGGCGATTGTTTGTTTCTTCGAGACGTAACAATAGACAGGTCATCAATATGCGTTATCATGCGGACTAGGAGCATTATATTCACTGTTTTAGTCGATGCATCAAGCAAAGTCTATAAAAACTCTTCAGTGATAGAAAAAAATGTTCTGCTCTTGGTTTAGATAATAACTATGTCATCCAGACTCTTCGTATGCTTTTCCATAACCGTTCAAGTCTCATCCGATTTATTAACATAATACGAACAATAATGAGGAGACACACAATTTGGAATGCAATGCTTTTTATTCAACTCTTATTAGTTTAGGTAGAAAGTGGCAAGAATATGTTATAGTTATTATTTAAAGGAATTAAGCTCTTAAACCTCTACCGCCGTATGTCACTCTCCCGGAACATACAATTATACGTAAACTGTTTTTGTAGCAACCTGAGGACGTTTGTACACAAAAGAGAACAATTTAAAATTGTCGTACGTGGCAGCAACCATCAGTGTAAGTAATTTTGCGCTCACAAGGACGTATCCATCTTGGGAAGTAGGCTAGTGACAACATTGCTCTGGTTACTGATGTCAGGCGGTAGTGGGTTAAATAAATTTCCAGTGATAAATCAAAGATCGTTCTCTACTAACAGTGAATGACTGACTAGGCACACAGATCGCCTAAGTAAGGTCGCACTTCAGAGCCTGTCTATCGTAACGGCTATTACAATAATCATCAAACCGCCAATTTCCACCATCATTAATAAATTAATGCGTGAAATTCTCATCAAACTTCACAAAATGCAGTGCATCTAGCGCATTTGAGGCAAAAAAAAAACAGCTTGTTCATAATTGACAAATAAAATAAAACCAAAAATTCAATCCAGTCGTTGAGCTGGCTGTGCGAATTTAACAAAAATATCTATCAAACAAATCTTCCTTGTTTTGTATCGGCGCTGTGTTCTGCCTAGTTGAGAAATGACCTTAAACCATAGCTAGCCAACCATCGACCACAGAGAACTGGCTTAGAAACTAAAGTTACGACCATCATGTACAGGGAAAATCTCATAACATTAGTTCATTGATTGATGATTGATTGTGAAAATAAATATGAGTCCCGAGGCTCAAGATTATCAAGGGAAGGCGTTTGTATACAACTGCGTTCAATAGCCGTAAGCGTTCATTGGCTCAGTAACGAAACAAAATAGCAGCAAGCGAGCATTGGCTTCACTTTGAAAGGAAATATTTGCATTTGACATTGTTAACAAACGAAAAGAGTAACTAACAGTAAGAAGCTAAGGGTCCCATTTAAAATTATCATGACTAAGATCACACTTGACTGCTAATGTATAAATGTAATTAAGGATTGGAATGCTGAGAACATCTCCATTGACAATAAGGTAGCAATCTGAAGCCTATGGTTTTGCTGAAAATTTAAATAAAATGCGCATCACTAAGGAAATGAAAAATTATCATACAAAATAAGAGAAGATGGAAACTAAAAAAGGAAATACATGATACCAGATGCGTACCATCTACGCATAAATTCAAACGGAACTTGGGGAAAAAGAGATTATGCGTAACACAGAGGTGTGAACAATTGATTATACATTCAAAAAAGATGATTCATTGATAATGCATAATACTTAAGGAATAAAAAATAATCATAAACTCAGGAAACTAAAGATCATAAGACTCTTGCTCAGTCAAATAGAATACAAACATTTAGGATGAGCATTAATGAGGAAGCACACATATTTTTTTTTAAACGTCGGATGCTGGGCAACATTATTCATTTGAATATTTATCAATTAAAGTTGCATTTTCATTTTTCCAAATTAAGGCGATAGTAGGATTCTTTTATAACTTTGATGAATGGATCTTTCAGAAACAAGCCATGTTTAAACCTCAGTTTTCAGGGTCTATATAGTATCATTCAATTGACACCAATTTGCGAATTTCCATGTTTACAAATAGTACTGTAATGCAGGACGAAGAGACAAGATCTCACTTCCATCAAATCAGCGGTATAAATTTCCTTCATAAGATGACTACTGGTTTGAACGTTTCACCTCAACAGAATTGAGACGTCGGGCTCATAAAATACCTTAAGCAGATTACATACTCCGCTAAAATAACAAGACATTTCACCGACATTGAAAGAAGTTGTACATCAAAAAAAGTCAAGATTTCAACAAAGAACGGACAATCTTAACTTTTCAATGCAAAGGAGACAAGGCTTTTCACCACAAGAGGGACATGACTGCGAAACGCCTGAATTGAAGGGGCGATCGACGTTTCAGAGACATTTAACCATTCGTCATCAAGAGACACGTTTCACATCTCGTCAAGAGACGGCATGAATTCACCTCTCGTCAAGAGACGACACGTTTCACATTTCGTCAAGAGACGACACGTTTCACATCTCGTCAAGAGACGACACGTTTCACATCTCGTCAAGAGACGACACGTTTCACATCTCGTCAAGAGACGACACGTTTCACATTTCGTTAAGAGACGGCATGTTTCACCTCACGTTAAGAAACAAAGCCGTTTCACCTCACGTCAAGAAACAGAGACGTTTCACCTCACGTCAAGAAACAGCCGTTTCACCTCAAGTCAAGAAACAGAGCCGTTTCACCTTACGTCAAGAAACATAAACCGTTTCACCAATAAAAGGATTGCTGGAGCAGCGAAGCAGCAGCCGAGAAGAGACTGGACGCGGCTTCTCTTATAGCGGCGCCGGTGTTGGCGACGGCGGAGCTTGGGTCGTCAACGGCGGCGCATTCGTCGTCCTCATCTTCAGGCAGATATTCCGGGAGCTCAACGTCGCTGGTATCATCGTCGTCACGCGACGGTGACGAGGCTTTCTTCGCTTCCTCAGTACTCTTAACAGGTGCTTTAGAGAGAGGGATTCGTACCTGCACGAATTACAGTACTTTATTTTATATACGATAATAAATCATCATAATACATCAGATATATTAGGCATTAGGTTTTAGCTTGTAAATCCATGATTTATGAAATATTTGTACCAATCTGAATCAAAAATGATTAGACTTGATAACATTTTTATTTTAAGCTGGCAATGTAGTGAAATTTTCCTCGTGAACGAACTACAGCAGTGAGTGTATCGTGAATCCTAACAAGTCATGTGGAGCAGACGGCTCACACCCTAGATTGCTCAAAGAATTAACAACCGTCCTCGCCTACCCTGTGACAGTGTTCTTTCAATAAATCTTGAACGTAGAGACTTTGCTGGCTGCTTGGAAAGAAGCTGAAGTTACACCATTGTTCAAAAAAGGTGACGTGAGCACTGAGCAGCCCCGTTAATTATCGCCCAGTCATTCTGACAAGTGTTGCTTGTAAGGCAATGGAATTTGTTGTGAGAGGCAGGATTATCGATCACTTGACTGTTCACCATCTCCTATCAGACTGTAATTACTGCCGGTAGATCTTGCACCACTAACCTCTTGTCTACTTTAAACGATTGGACTCGCCTGCTGGACGAAAGAGAGCCAGTGGATGCAGTTTACCTCGATTTTGCCAAAGCAATTGACAAAGCAAGAGCCCCGTTCAAGGGGCTATTGCGTAAAATGAAATCCTTGGAAACAGAGGGAAATGTTCTCCAATGCATCAAAGATTGTAGAGTAAGCGGACGATAACTTCTCAGTACTAACGGAACCGTATCACGCTGGGCATCAGTGCGCAGTGGCGCGGCACATGGAAGCTATCTTCTGCCTGTTTTGTTCGTTTCTTTTATAAACGATCTGCCAGAAGTACCTAGTCTCAAGCGTGTGCTCTTTGTAAGCCAATGAAACAAATGTTTATAATACAGTGAGGAATGCGTCATTATAAAGTGTAATTATAGTATGATAGTTCAGCTGGGCTGATACGTGGCAGCTGCGTTTTAATGCTGACAAGTGTAAAGTACTTCACCTCGGAAACAACAATGAACAGCAAGATTACAGTATGAGAAGACATGGTTGCAACGAGAGAGTAATGATTGAAAAGTCTAGTGTGGAAAAAGATCTCGGAGTTTATGTCGACAAGGAGCTGAAATTTTCTAAGCATGTTGAAACGCAAGCTAACACATCCAACAAACTTCTTGGACTAATCAGACGCTCATACGAGTTCCTAGATGCAGAAGAAATGAAGCAGTTGTTTGTTGCTGCCGAGCGCCCTATTCTAGAGTTTGGAAACGTCGTGTGGTCACCGAAACATGAAAAGGACAAAAATTTAGTAGAGAGTGTTCAAAGACGTACAAAAAAGATAATCCCAGACTTGAAGGGCAAGTCTTATGAAGAAACATTAAAGATTATGAAGCTTTCAAGCCCCTGTTATCGACGGCTGCGTAGGGAACGCATTGAAGTATACAAGTATACTCAATTACTCATGGTTTATACAAGGTCCCAGAAGATTGACTAGAATTTGAAACAAGAACCAAGACCAGGAGCCACGGCTACAAACTGCGTTGCAACTCAACCGCGCGACAACATTTATTCTCGCCTCGAGTCACCGACATGTGGAACAGCCTCCCTGATAGCATCGTTGACGCTCCGAGTATGAACGCGTTCAAGAGCAGAATAGATAAAGCTATGGTGAAATATATGTTCAGACTTGAAATGCCTAGAACCATGCAGAACCTGGTGAAAGTCTAGTAGCTATTTCAAACTATCGTCAGTTCTGAAAAGTTCGGTCAAATGACCTGTTTCTAAATATCCTGTCACGAAAAGTTCAAGAATCGACAACAGGTCATACCTATTCTTCAGCGCCGACGTCACTATGAAGATCATGAAGGGCAATGATTTAGCCTCAATTGTCTGCAGACGACATTTTTCTCTTTTTTTGCAGGCTTCTAGATACTGAAGACAAATCATGCAACAGTAAACATCAGCAGATGGTTATATTTCCAGTTCTAGAATATGCTCCCGTGTCATGCCTAACTAACAAGTTGGCTTACTATGACTCACCTCTTCATTGACGTTTTTGGCAACGACTTGGAACAGCTGCATGTTCATGTCGAGTTTGTCGATGGCAGAACCGAGCTTAGCGAGGTCCAGCACACGACGCACGCGACACGCGATGCGCGACTGTGTCATGTCGAACACCAGCGAGATGACACCGCGCACCCGCACCAGCGCTCCCTCTACGCATGCGCGCTCGCTCTGATGGGGGAAATTGTTACTACAGTGAACATTACCTATGATAATGCCGGCTCTCTGCGCAAATGACGTTACAACAACGTTACAACGTTTAATCAACGTTATTTCTAGTCTGATAGTAAGGGTACCCTAGCGCTCCATTAACGCTTGTGCATGATTGTTTCACAAAATTAATCTATTAACACTCTGAATAATTAATCTATTAACACACTTAACGCACATACCTAAATTTTAAAAATTTCTTTCAATGGAAAATTTCTTGCTTATTCTCAACATAGAAAGTGCAACTTTGATGTAGCAACCAAATGATAATAAAGAATTGTTCAATACTATCGAGGGCTGCAATATATCTTGACAAAATGATATTTTCAGTGGAAATCCACAATATAAACAAGCAACCAGAATATTTCGTTCAAGTTTTCATGCTCTCTCAGCATATAGGTTTATGAAAGTGCTCATCTCAATCACCGGTTCAAAAACTGGAAATAACCCGCCTTATTGGCGCAACTTATAGTAGAATATCAAATAATAAAACGTATGTACACTTACATATTCCTGTTAACAATTTTTAAAGTAGTTTGAAGATTATTTTTTTGTTCGAAATTGAGTACCGGATCAAGATTGAAATTTTTTATTACAAATATTCAAATATATACAAAATACGTATGCTAATTCATCCACAAAATGAGGGGACTTACCGGCGTTTGCATGCCTTGCACGTGCAGCGTGATGAGACGAGTGCGGAATTTTGGGTCAGTGTAGTACTTGCCGCGGCGGCTGTTACTCTGACCATCAGCCTCCTCAGTTCCTGGGGTCTGTGGACAAAAAGTTCTTGTAGGGAATATGAGGAAATTATCGCACAATTTACAGTGTAAATTAAGAAGTGGTACTTAACATATCAAAGATAGACATATGGTAGTATTGACTTGAATTTATTTAGAAGTGGGGGTTTCCTCTAAAGGAAACCATAGCTGAACATTCTGAACAAATTATACAGTCACTCACTTGCAGCTTCTGGCAAGGTTGACTACTGGAAGACATAGAGACAGAAGAGCAAGTACTTTCTGCACTCTCACTTCTTACTAATCCTCTATTGTTATCTTTATCATATTTTGGGTCAGCAGTTTGCGTTTCCTTTCCAGTCACTGCTTTTCTAGACCCTTTCTTGTTGGCTTTACCATCATTTTTGCCATCAACATCATCAGTATCAACTTTGCCGGCCTCCAGTTCGCTGCTTTCAATGCGGCTATCACAGGACTCAACACTTCCAGATGGCCCTGCATCCACTTTACTGCTGTCCATGTGACTGTCACAAGAGTTGGTCTCAACAGAAACAGAAGAGGGAGGATCAGCTGACACCTCAGATGGCATTTTTGATCGTCTTCTGGCAGCTCTTTGTTGGTACAGCGCAAAATTGAGGCAAGTGAAGAGCTCAGCTGCTTTACTCTTCATCTCGTCTGTGTGGTCATTATCTTCCCTGAGAAGCAGTTCAATTCTCATCACTAATACAATAAAAAAATTTACGAAGCTTTATAAAAATCATTGACACAAGTAGAAAGGATCTGCAGAGGCTAAAATCAGAGACAGAATGTAAAACTAGGAAATTCACAATGCAAGGACCAAACCAATATATAATTGATTGGCCACTTTAGAGTGCATACTCATTTAATTTGGAATAAAACAATTATACCCCCAATTAATTGTTCAGTGTTTTTTACTGTTCTGCAACTAAGCCTCACTCAACAGAAGCCCTAAGGCTGTGCAGGACTCCAAACGTAGAAGCCATTGGGGCACGGCACTCGGGTGACTCAGCCAGAGCAGCCAGAGTAGCCATGGATTTAGAAGCCAGATTGTTGTCTCCATTGCCAATGACCAGTGAGAGGAACTGAAGGCAGGTTTCATCCTGCACAATTAGATATATTATCATCATTAATTACATATACTAAAATATTTATATAATTGCATTTGAATATTGTATTACAAATCAAATTCATACACGTGATTAAGATGATATTTCTGATATCTGAATAAAATATTCCCTTTGCAGACACTTCGGTGTATACAAGACTCTTACCAATCTGTTTTTTTACTACGGCACCCATAACCTTGCCCTGATGCATTGAAAACAAATTTAAAATAATTGGTTTTCTAGTTACCAAAATAAATGTTGCATAACATTTTTTATTACAAAAGAAGAATTGTCCACAATTATAATCACAACCAACTAATATAGGTATTGAATAATATTCTGTCAAACAGGGTAATAAGGGACAGGAGGGGTAAACCAAGACAGTCATCCCACATTTCGTAGAAATGTTGTAGCAGTTGAACTAATCAAATTATTGCAAAACTAAAAATAGTGGCGTAAAGTTCCCCATTTTTACTATCTATGTAGCATCAAGCAAGTTAGGAAATCATACATTTACTACCTTTAAATAATTCCCGAAAAAAGTGTGATTTTGGGAAAGTACCTCTGCTATGGTCTGTAGCAAAAAAATATTTGCCATATTACAAAATTTTACTTACATAAATGTTTCACACAAGTGTGGCTTAAAAACGTGATGGATGGAATTTGTATATCTCATCCCCCTCCCCCCCCCCAAAAAAAATGGAGGCCATTTCCACAAGACAGGGTAATAAGGGACAGCCCCCCACGGTACATAATAAGGAACACTCCTAAAAGTGCATTTACAGTAGAACCTTGATTAGCACAGGCTCCATTTTAAAAAAAATCAATTAACCACAAATAATTTTGATTACATTCACTTTGCTCAGCAAAAAAAATTCACTAAACAAAATATTTAATTCATAGTTATCAGAAAATTGTGCATAGAATGTCATAGATAGAATTGTGCACAATGCAACATAGAATGAAAAGTAATTAACCTAAACTATGATTCATTTCACCAAAAACTATGATGGTTATCACTCAAGTATTCCTTTCTGTTTCAGGTGTGGTTTTACAATCGTTATATGTCATAGTGAATTAAAATGGTGCAAAATTACAAGCCGTCCTGGTAGCTTACAGATACAGAAGAAATGCTATATGGCTGCTGATATGAAAGTTGCAGTGGACAAGGTCGTTGTCAATGCTCAATGGCATGTCCATGGATATGGTAATATCACATCAGTAATATGGAAATGTATGGATATGGTAATATTTCAATGAAGGATAATCAAATAAAAATCACAAAAAAATGTCATTTGTTCTACATCTACATCATCTACAATGGTAGAGGAGGACTTCAGAGTACTTACTGTTAGTAATAGATGAGTACACTCAAACATTTTAAAATTAAGTTTTATTTAAAGTGTCCCAGATAACTCCGTTCCCAGGGGTAATTTGGGACACTTTTATTTTGCATTTGGCACCTTACAAATAGCATATGGAATTATTTTGAAAATTTTTGGAAATCCCATACAACAGCCCTTGCAAAGAGCTTTTAATTAAATGAACCCAAACTTGTTTATGAAATGTTTCATGGTAGTTATTAACAAAGAAACGCTCAAAACCATCCCTTATTCCCATTTTACGGTTATAATTAGATATCTCAACTTAGTATCTATATAAACAAATAAACATGTCATCAAAAGCTTATACCATAGTGAATATTAATATAAAATACATTGTATGCAGTTTGTGAAGTTCTCGAGCAGAGAAACTTTTGAAAAACAAATGAGACTTAAATGTATTGTTTAATAGGTAAATTTATGTACCATACTGGCATGATATTTCTGAGTCTGCTTGTTAAGATAAAGGAATATTAAAAATTTATTTAACAAGTTTCCCAAGAAATAGAATTTCTTCTATCAAGAAGAAATTCTATTTCTTGAATAGAGGTCAAGAAATAATTTAGTTACAAATTCTTTGTCTTTATTATTAAATTCAGGAATTTTGACTCCTGAGGGGCCATTACTTACTGGAGTGAAATTTCATCTCTTGTTCTTGAGGAGCCATTACTTACCAGAGCAAAATTTCATCTCTTTTTCTTGAGGAGCCGTTACTTACCAGAGCAAAATTTCACCTCTTGTTCTTGAGGAGCCATTTCCTACCAGAGCCAAATGTAATCTCTTGCTCTTGAGGAGCCATTACATACCAGAGCCAAATGTAATCTCTTGCTCTTGAGGAGCCATTACATACCAGAGCCAAATGTAATCTCTTGCTCTTGAGGAGCCATTACATACCAGAGCCAAATGTAATCTCTTGCTCTTGAGGAGCCATTACATACCAGAGCCAAATGTAATCTCTTGTCAGCATCCAATGCCAGCTCATGATATGCCATGACAGTTGCCTCAGCAGCAGCTCCTAGCTGAACATCTGCACCATCATCTTCAGCCATGATGGCTCTCTATGCATTCAAAATCTTTTCCTGAAACAATAAAAAATATTGTTCAAGCAAGATTCTCAGTTTGATAATCAACAAAAAAAATTAAATGTTCTCCCCAGACATGATTAATAATTTTCTAAAGAGAAGATTATAATTCTACCTACCTTGTAAAAAATATGGCTGGCATTCTTCAATAATTATATTTTTTAATTAATAGAAGGAAATATCTAAATGTAGTATAAACAAAGCATAAGGCTATGATGGAAATTTCACAAAAATGAACATAAACCTGAGGTTTATTTAGGGGGATTTGGTTCATTTTTCATCATACCTAAGATTATTTCTTCTTGAAGTAAAATTTTGACACTACATTTAACAAGAAACTTTCCAACTTTAGAATTAGCAGAATTATTTGTCAAGTATGGTTTCCAAAAATTTATGGTTAGGAAAAGCATTACTTTCTCTTAGTTTTATTACTAATCTTTCCATTCTCTTGTCTAGAAGGGACTTGAGTATATTTAAACATAAAAATTGAAAGTTTGCTAAAACCTGTAGAACATTCTTCAGTCATGAATTATAAAAACAAAGATTTAACATAAGCCTCAGTTGAAACTTGCAGAGCTACATGAAAGAGTAGGCAAGAGAATAAAATTGACATCAATGCTGATGCCATCACCATGTGTATCTTCTGCTTGTTTTGACTAGTACCCATATCCATCATTGGCAGGCAGCAGCAATCTTAATGCATGTATTTCTGTGCTAATCATTAGGCTTCAACCATATCAATTATAAATAGCTGTCATCCACCTCGATTGCCCTCAGCATCTTTGGGGCAATGAATTTGACTTTTGTCAAGTCATACTTTACAGTCTGGTCGATGATAGTGATGATACATACTGGTTTACTTATTGGACTCACAATTCAGAGCCTCAGTAGGAAGGTTAACAAAAAATTGTCTTGTTTGCCTCTACGTGCTGGTGTATATGATACTAACTAAATTACTTATGGAATATGAGACTTCAAGGGGAGGTCAAGAAAAAGTTATTTGAATCTTGTCACTCCAAAAATGAAGGGAAGCTTGGAAAGGAGATATAATCCATACTTGCAATACTGCATGAGAACAGATGCTTTTCTCTCATTCATGGCTGGTTCTTAACTTCCTGAGATCACCCATGGCCAGGTAAACCTAATAAAACATACAAATGTATGGCCTGTCATTGACTCTATCCTTGGCAAAGTCTATTGTAAATCTGGTAGCTTATTTACCTAGAATCAAATGACTTTGTCCATTATCATTTGCTAGTTCTAAGTTGCAACTTGCAACTCCCAAAGTGGAAAATTAGACAGAAGTTACCTATGAATAGGAAAAATTTTGTTGGTGAATGTTGCCCATTCCACCTATGGGTTACTTTTTTCCAATTTCTTCAGTAAAAAATGAAAAAGATGGCCTATTTACAATACTTCTCTTTAACTTCAATTCTTCTTGTTTGTCTGCTCACTGCTACAGATCATATAATTAATAATTAACACACTAATACCAGTCCAATCAATCTGAAATTTTGCATACTTGTGTAAAGTCAGAGACAATGCATGAATTAATTGACAGAATAAATAATTGTAAAAAATTTTTATATATTAAAAAAAGGTAGGTATAAAATATGTTTTTTTTTAATATTTAAAATAAAGAAAGAAATTCATTGTACAAGTGTAACATCGGAGACACTGACCTCTTTAGAAGTGTTGTCTTTAAAAAGGAATTTTTAAATGCATATTATTTTACTATTGATTTTTGAAAATCACATGAGAAATAATTTTTTTGTGCAATTTTATAAATCTTTTGCCTGATATTCCAAATTGGTGTCACTCTGCTGCCAATGCAACAGCAAATAAAGCCTTCCTGCAATTTTTGCAGCAAAAAAATTCCTGTTAGATGAATTACATGATATACATCCAATTTAATTCACTAATTGTTAATGAAAGTACATAATTTACCTATGAGATACAAATTGTGATGAAAATTTGTCACTTAATATTTATGAAATTTCAGTAATAAGTAGAATTCCATTACTGCATTCAACTTGCTGCTTGGTAATACAAGGTGGGACAGAACTGATTGAGCCATTTAAAGCAGTCAGCAGAGCTGGGCAGCGCTACTTTGGAATGTAGCAGCCGCTACCGCTACATGCTCTAAATATAGTGGGCGCTACCACTAACGCTAAAATTGCCTAAATGTATTGCCGCTACCACTACTGAAAATGTACTATATGAATGACCTTGTGAAGAGTTTGGGACTTCCTAGTCCCCGGTCATGCTGATGCGCCGTCTTTGTCGTCCTCTGTCTCCGAGTCATTGTTTGATGTAACGTTGAACGTGTTCCGTCTATTTGCCCTCCTTTGGACCAGCTGATGCAAGATGCTGTTGCTTGTCACTTGCTGATGGTAGTTTCCCATTACTGGACAATCCGGGATCTTTTTCAACCACTTGTCCAGTCGTCTCTTGAATGTTGCAAGGGTGAACTCCCTTCCTCTCAGCGCTTTTGGCAAGGCATTAAAGAGCCTCGGTCCTACCACAGACAGTGATCCCTCACAAAGAGTCTGTACTCTGGCCGCGGCTTGGTTATTAAATAGGGGAATCCTGCACAGTCTCCCCCTTCTTTCGTTGTAATATGTCATTATTTTAGAGGTCTCACTCTCAAAGTTGGGAGCCAGTCTGTTTTTCATCTTCCAAGTGTACAGTACGATATACCTTTCCTTTCTTCTCTCCAGCGAGTACAGTTCCAGGTGTTTCAGCCTACCCCAGAAGTTCAGGTTCAGCTCCCTCATGCCAGTGATCCTGTACATGAAGGTCTGCTGCACTGCCTCCAGTTTCCGCACCGCACCTGCCTTGAGTGGCGACCAAAGCTGGCAGCAATACTCAAGATTGGAGAGCACAAGGGCTCTGAAGAGTGTAATCAATCATTGGTGCTGCTTCTCTCATTCAAAATGTCCACCATATCCACCCCATCCATTGCCAGCTGCGCACAACTATTTCCTCACTATGGGCATCAAATGTGGCTTCAGTACTCATCAACACTCCGAGATCTCGAAATAGTTGCTTCTCCTCAAATTCAGTGCCATCTGATGCCAAGTAGCAATGTGGCATTGTAACCGGGCGCACTAGCAGGTGGAACAAACTCGTTCACTTACTGAAAATTACTCTTACGGTGCTCGTCACAGAAAACAGGAATTAATGAATTACTTAGGGATTTGCTTTTATTTAAGTATTTATTTTCATTTATTAAAAGAAAAGCCAATATGTTAAAAATTGTATACAATAAGAATAATTTGCCAAACTCATAATTAGAATTGAATCAATAAACAAGCAACTTTAGGACTATGGAACTATGGAATATGAAACCATGGGTGGAGCAATACACACAGCAACTGAAACGAACAAATAAACATAAATATACATGCAACAAGAGAAATAGTAATTTATTTGCTATGTGAGGGAATTTAGTGAAGTTAATTTGACTTTAAACATGAACAACAAAAATAGGAGTGAATTAAGGAATATATTATAGAGTTAGGACAGTCAAGGGCAAATCCAAGTGCAAAATGTTCAAGCACAAAAATGATTTGAGAAAACAATTAAAAGTAATTATTGCAAGCACAAGCATCACACTAAAATTTAATCAAGCTGACAGGTATGAAAAGAATCATTATAACAAAAAATGACAACAGAATGAATAAGAACCAAGATGCATAAAAACAATCAGCCTAAAATAAGTACATTAGACATAATTGATAATTAAATAATTGATAATTAACGTGCAGACCAAACGGCCAACTCACCAACTGGTGATGACAGTGAGAGTTTCAGAATTTCTGCTAACTCGAGACAAGTTTATTTGGCATGCAATAATATAGGTTTATGGGGTCGTTCAATACCTGAAACAAGACAAAACAACATAGGGCAACATTAGACACAAATGCATGAAATATGACAAATAATAACCATGTTTGCAGTAAATGAAAACAATAAATAAATGAAATAGAAAATTATATAATTGTGAGCTGAAACACATGAGCTTGGTCTGCCCTAAGATTACCCCTGGTAACAGCATCCCGATCTCTGTGCAATCTCTGTATCTCATTACTTCGAACTTGGTGCTGTTGAACTGCATATTGTTCACTAGGGCCCAATCGTAGATTGATGATAGATCATCCTGTAACCTCTCGCAGTCTAGGCCATCTGTGATCTTCATCAGCACTCTTGTATTGTCCGCAAATGACAATGTAGATGCATGGATGAGTTCTGAGTCAATATCGGCAATGTGGATGAGGAAGAGGATCGGTCCAAGCACTGAGCCCTGCAGAACTCTGCTTTTCACCTTCGCTTCTCTCGATTTCGAGTTTCCAATTGCGACAGCTTGAACTCTATCTGTAAGGAAGTTGTGGATCCACCTTAACAGGCTTCCTCCTACCCCCCAACAGCCTCAGCTTTCTAAAGAGCACCCCATGGTCAACTTTGTCAAAAGCTTTAGCAAAGTCTAGGTACACCACGTCCACGCCAGCTCCCTCCTTCAGCTGGGCCACCAGACGGTGACGGTGCTCCAGTAACTGCGACAAACAGGAACGATTACGCCGGAAACCATGTTGTCTGTTACGTGCTTACGTATTGAACAAAATAGAGTAGAACTACTATGCTGTCAATAGTAGGTCATGTAAGGCCAGCAAGCCTTCTAATAATTCAGTTGTATACCAGACTCCACCAAATACAGTTCCCTAAACCTATGGTCTCGTCTCTGCTCATCTTCATCCTTATAGCTAGCCTGGACTTAGTCATACGACTAGCAAACGTAACATTGTCCGTTATTATACAGGTCAGCCTCTTCCATATACCGGACAAGCCTCCTGACCACTACCTTCTCAAAAACCTTGATCACATGTGAGGTCAAGGTCACAGGTCTGTATTTTGGGGTCTGTCCCTCGGACCTCCTTTGTGGATTGGCATTATCAGTCCCACTTTGAGACCCTCAGGGATAATTCTCTCTGTTATCGAGGCTTTCCAGAGCATTGTGAGCGGAGCCTTCAGTGCTCCAACACACATGTTACGTGCTTACGTATTGAACAAAATAGAGTAGAACTACTATGCTGTCAATAGTAGGTCATGTAAGGCCAGCAAGCCTTCTAATAATTCAGTTGTATACCAGACTCCACCAAATACAGTTCCCTAAACCTATGGTCTCGTCTCTGCTCATCTTCATCCTTATAGCTAGCCTGGACTTAGTCATACGACTAGCAAACGTAACATTGTCCGTTATTATACAGGTCAGCCTCTTCCATATACCGGACAAGCCTCCTGACCACTACCTTCTCAAAAACCTTGATCACATGTGAGGTCAAGGTCACAGGTCTGTATTTTGGGGTCTGTCCCTCGGACCTCCTTTGTGGATTGGCATTATCAGTCCCACTTTGAGACCCTCAGGGATAATTCTCTCTGTTATC